GAAAAACACGTGTATTACAGCGTCTTTAAGTAAGACTAAAATTTTGGTTGGTTGTGACAAAAATGTTACGATAAAAATACAATTTTAGGCATGTTAAACTAAGTAGTACCTTTTGATTAGCCTTGAAATCTTTTTCAAATCAAATCATTTATTTGTATGTATCTTATAAATACTTTAGCTTAATGAGCTATCACTGGTACAGACGACAGCTAAACACAGTTAACTTCGAACTCCTCCTATGTTCTTCTGATTAATTTCGTTGCGGGTCCAATGACAGTTTAACTTTCCCCCGGGACAAACTTGACCTTCATTAGTTTTTTTTTATTGACGGTCAAGCTGTAGATCCTGGCTACACAGGAGTTGCAATAGTGGGAAAGATAGGTGGGAATAGTCCCGTAAACACTGTAGCATCTTATTTAGTTGTAATAGGGACGATTTTGCGACAAAAATGGATAGTTTAATGTGCTGTCAGCTGCGTACATAGCATTAGGATTAGAAACCCACGAGGTTAAGTCATTATTGCTATACAAAAACGGTTGTGTGTGAATTTAAGCATTATACTGCCTTCAGCAGTATGTAAAGCGCGAAATATCAGCCCATTCCAGCCGTCACATTTTAAAAAACTACGCAAACCGTCACAATACAAAAGTGACATTGACAAAAAATAGTTTCAATGGGGGTTAAAGAGTGAAAAATATAAATATGCATTAACTGTTTCGTATAAAAATCTTTTATCTTTTAAGTCATCTTAAAAATTTTGTGGATAAAAAAAAAGTCAAAATGGCATACAGAATTAAGAATAGTTATTGTGCGAACTTGACCTGACTTGCAACTGATATTCTATCAGCAGTGGTCATACACAAGGTGAATGTCATACATTACGTAAGGAAGGAACTACGCACGCTGTCTATATGGAATAGTATAAGATAATTTCTTCAGATCGTGACGTGATGCCTGGCCTCGCTGAGAAAAGTTATCGGAGTTACAAAATACGCTGCAGCCGATATTTTTTTAATTGAAGACTTATGCGACATCAGAATATCAATTTACATGAAGTAGTAAAAATCATACGAAGTACGATCGGTGCATATTCGTATACAAATTGGAATCTTAGTTGGAACCATAAAAAATGTTGTTAGTTCTTTTACAAAAACATCACAATGTCACTCATACTAAGATATTTGATTAAACAACTTAAAAAAAAATAAGGTTATTTTGAAATGTGACGAAAGGGAATTTAAAAATATTAAAATTCGCCTCAATATTCCCATTTGCCCCACTATCGGGGCGATGGAGAATAAATTGATTTTGTTAAGCACCTAAATGTTTTTTGTTCGGACCAAAAGGTGAGCCGACAGATAAACCCTTCAGTTCGCTTGTACCTAGTTAAATTCAAGATTAAATAAACAAATAATATAGATTTATGAAAGCAGACATGTGTTACAATGACAAGTTTAAAAAAAATCTTAACGATCAGAAATGTAAAAAAAAAAACAATCTAGTGGTCACTAAGCGTAGGTACATGCTTGCATTTGTATTAAATTTTTTTTTTAAATACAATAATTATCTAATTAAATTGTGATCAAAGATTTGATTTCAATTCAGATCATGAACTCGCCACGTGTACTAAAGCGGGAATAGGGATTAAAACAATGTTATCGGGGGTCAATCGGTATCAGTTACCTGCACCCCGCGTTTTAGACTCGTGATAGTGATATGGCGTATTGTATGTTGAATGTGACAATGGCTGACCCCACGGGCATGATTATGATAAACTGATGAAAAAATGGACTGGAGGAAGATTTTGTGTGATCGAATCTCGCAAGTGTGCAATTTATTTCAAAACTAGCTTTCCGCCCGCAGCATCACCCGCATGGAATTTGTTTGTCACAGAAAAACTTCATCGCGCGCGTCCCTGTTTCAAAAACCGAGATAAAAACTATCCTATGTCCTTTTCCGGGACTCAAACTATCTCTATGCCAAACATCAAAATCGGTTCAGAGGTTTAGCCGTGACAGTGACACAGACATGTCTGTCTGAGTTACTTTCGCATTTATACTATTAGTAGGGAAGTAGGGATTTCGTCATTCTACTAACGGGACTATTCCCATCTCTCGTTCCCACCGCTGCAACTCCTGTGTAGCCAGGATCTACAGCTTGACCGCCATAACCCAACCAGTGAAGGCCAAGTTTGTCTATAAAAGTGACAGACTTCCGCTACTTCTTCTCAGCATCAGCCGATATTATGTTGTTTTGAAGTTGGTAGAGCAAGCTATAGTGCCCTGAAAGAGGGTTAAACTTCGCAAAATGCTTTCTGTAAAATATTAGTATGGTAAAGGGCAATTTTACGAAGTCCACATTCTGCATCAGACCCCTGAAAGGATCTACATGCTAATAAAGAATTTGAACCGGCAGACAGTGGTGACTGAGTTTGTTGTGGCGCTTCTTCTCAGCACTTGCCAAATTTTGGTCTCGAAGCGCTGGTAGAGCAAAAATATTATGACATGTAGAGGCTCCTAAAGAGCAAAGGACGATTTGTAAGTACTGTTTAAATAGTCTATCCAAATAAAAAATAAGTCGTAAGCTTGTAAGGTAACAATCTACGTGGAGACAGTATCTGGTAACTTCCTGATAGCAGCGGGGTCGCGAGCGATAGCCCCGGCCAACGCTGCCAATGTCGAGTGAATGTCGCAGCGACCTTTAACGCCCCGGGGAAGTGTGTACGTAAGTCCAAAGGAGCCGTGGACCCGTGTTATGTAAGACTGTATAATTCTACAAGCAAAAAACTAAATTAACTACTATTCCATTAAATAGCCCCATCTATCGGTGGAAGCTCATCAATTTCGTTCATCGAGCTCGAGGATGTTCCAGCTTTTGATGCGCAGGAGTTGTAGACCAGTATTATGTAAGAGGCTGTATGATTCTACAAGCAAAAACCGAATTGAGAACCTCCTTCTTTGTTAAAGTCGGTTGAAAATGCAGAATGTCGCAGCGACATTTAACGCAACGGGGAAGTGTGTATGTATACGACCGAAGGAGCCGTGGACCTGTGTTATGTAAGAGATTATGATGGTGGACGAAAAATGAGGCCTGTTTCTCTGGAAGTCTATGGCTATGTCAGTCACTTTGGTTCTCCTGCGGATCTCCTCATTACTGATTCGATCGCGCAAAACTCCGAGCATAGCCCGCTCCATCGCCCTTTGGGTGATCTTGAACCTTTTTATGAGGCCTATGGTAAACGACCACGTCTCAGATCAACAAGTTATCACTGGCAACCATGCGCGTGCCAAAAAACCTAGATACGCCAATGGGTACACACACTGGTCAAAGACTTTTGTCTTCACACTGCGGTATTTCGGACGTGAGAACGGACGGTAGCTCGCAGAGCTGATGGCGAAATTCTCGAGTGGCAACCACGAGCCGGAAGACGTAGCACTGGGCATAGGCATACCCCCCACTAGGTGGACCGACGAACTGGTGAAGGTCGCGGGAGGTGCCTGTATGCGGGCGGCGCAGGACCGGTCGCTGTGGAAATCCTTAGGGGGGGGGCCTTTGTCCAGCAGTGGACGTCATTCGGCTGAAACGAACGAAACCTTTTCAAGACTGCACACGTGGTATTGGTGAAATTCAGTGGAGTGGATACCACTTTATGGAACTGACAAAAGCTGATCGTAAGTAAAGTCTGCCTTCCAGACTCGTTTTCACTAAGGCTGAAATGAGGCGAGAGCAGGCGAGATAAGTTAAAGCATACAATAGAATTTCGTATTTTCACATCACTCTTCTTAGCTCAGGTGGGTCAGGAGAAACGATTGAGCAGAACGAAGAAGAGACGTGCGGCATTTCCATACAATATACTTCGCGCTGAGCGGAATGGAGGAGAGAGAGAGAAGTTTCTTGCGCTGCTTCTTCTCAACACTGGCCTGTCTGGCCAATGTCCTGAAGCAGTGGTAGGGTTACAGTAATACTGGGACGTGTAAAAGTGCTTTTTAAAAGCCTACTTGCAAAATAAATGCCTTTTAATGACTTTTATCTGACCATCTACATTCTAGACAGATGAACTGATAAAAATATTCCTCAAAAGGATATTTTGATCAAGGGTTTCCAGCAACAATTGGAGGACTGTTTAACTATGTGCATCCTAGGTACAATCTGAAACTCGGGTTCAACATTACAAAACAATTACACTAGTAGTCTACTTTGGTAGGAAAAATGCACACACAAATTGGTATCCAATGTCATATTAAGATGAGGACAACTAGGACTTCTGGGAGTGGAGTATTTGATTGTTATTCCATAAAATAGCACCATCTCATCTGGAATCTCTCAAGCGAGCTCAAGCATGTGCTATCTTTTGAGGCGTAGCGTCCAATAATAATAAAAAATATTTCTGTCTTGTTACAGTTTTTGTGCTTAAATTGCCTTGAGTCCCTTTACGGAGAAAAGTAACTGCATAACATACAAAAAACACCAGAGAGAAGGCCTTTCCAAATTACAACTGTCACATTATGCCACTTGTAATTGCAATGAAAGTTTAGGTTGAAAGGTTTATTCCTCAAATAAGAATTCAAAAACTTGCTTAAAGGTTTCGGTGTACCTAGTCGTTTTTAAATATTTTGTAACAAAAGTGGGTATTGGTTTTTTTTTGTGAAACAATATTTGAATGCATAGTAAATAACTATAAGATTAAATTAAAATAATACTAATAAGATTCCAATTTGAATTGTATTGGAAATACAGAGAAACTATGCGTAAAATTGAAAAGATCGAAGTGACAAAATCTGACGAAAGATTTCCCTCTTTTGATATCACAATTTCGATGCCAATAGCATGACAACATTGTACAATCAATAAACCGCAATCAGTACTGAGTAATGAGCATAATAAAAGCCGACATAAGCCGATAATTCGTCTTCAAGTCAGCACTAAAAATCGGAGATAACAACCCAGAACATAAACGCACATTTATCGACAATTACACAAGTATTTTTAATAAAACTTACAGATATCTGCCGGCTACTGCGATGGGGCTTACAGGCGGCACTGATACACACTGATAAATTATATCAATATTTAATATTCACTTTGAAATCGCTCGATAATCCGGCCGACCGACAAAACGACGATGTCAGCAATGATTGACGTTTCACAGCGGCCATTTGTAATTCCGTTCAGAAATTCCGGATGGAATTTGAAATTACTTCTTTGTACTTTATTATTTCCCGCGATTTATTTATGATTCGCACAAAAAAAGATGAAAATGAATAAAGCATCCTAAAAATAGTGGAAAAATACTTGTAAATCAATAAAATAAAAATAAAATTGATTACATTCTTGCTTTAATTTTATTTCTTGTCTTTGAACGAACGAACGAAAGAAAGAAACAACGCCATCTATATTTAAGAGTAAAAACTAAAACAATTATTTTTGATGGCATTCATTTAATGCAAACTCGCATTTTATGCCATTGACACTGGTCACAACATTAAGTTGCTTACTTTGGGGCTAACTGGCGCTGTGTGAAATTGTCCAAAAACTGTCCAAAGATTATTAAATAGCATAACGATATTTCAAGTGGTAATATTAATACGTTACCTCCTCTCCTAGCTGCCTTCTTCTCCATTTTTTACTATTTTGTATTTTTAAACTTTACACTTTGAACAACATAATAGCCATTACAAGTTAATAAATACAGATGGCGCTTTTTAGGCTGGAGATTCTAGTTTTACTAGTGATGATTCGTTATTTTAGTATGTTCGTTATCGATAGTTTATATCGTAGTGTATTGATATTATTATCTGATTAAGGCAGATTTATTACACTAAAGTATTTTACGCATATACAAATTAAAAATTACTTCTTCTTCTTCTTCTTCTTTTATTTTGGCAAAATTATAAGTTATTTCCATCATCATCAATTCATTTACTACCTTAAGGTGCTTTTTTTGCAATTTCCGACTATTCTTGCTTGGCATAGGGCGCAAGTAAAACTTTTTGAAATTATTAGCCTATTGCTATTCCACTACTTCAAATAATTTTAAATCAACCAAATCATGATCCTGTTTATTACAGGACAGGTTTAAATGATTAATGATTTTCATACTTTGTAACTATCGACACAGATATTCTGTCGATAATGATCGATTAATGTGGCATGGACTTCACTATTTTTTGACAATTTTGACATTTTCATGACATGTTGTTTCCACAGATTAGAGTGTATGTCTGAAGGTTGTTTCTGTCAGGGTGCGGAAACTTCCATACAACGGTCATCGAAGTGAAACTTGCTTCCAAACAGCGACATCGGTGAATAAATTCAAATACTTTTTAACTACCCTAAAACGCTCTAGATGTCGCTGCTCCTGTTTCCTTCATATTTTCATTTTTTTCTTAATTAAAATATATTTGAGAATATTGTTAATTACAATGTGAAAACTTTGTTTAAATGAAATTAANATATCAATAATTAATATTCACTTTGAAATCGCTCGATAATCCGGCCGACCGACAAAACGACGAGTCGATGTCAGCAATGATTGACGTTTCACAGCGGCCATTTGTAATTCCGTTCAGAAATTCTGAATGGAATTTGAAATTACTTCTTTGTACTATAAATATTATTATTTTATTTTGTAAATTATTTCCCATGATTTATTTAATTGTGATGTTAATGAATGAAGCATCCTAAAAATAGTGGAAAATTTTTAATTCTTGTTTTTGAACGAACGAAAGATAAAAACAACGCCATCTATATTTAAGAATAAAAACTATAACTTAATTATTTTTGTGATTTTCATTTAATGCAAATTCGCATTTAATGCCATAGATTGACACTGGTCAAGTAGCAAAATGATATTTCAAGTGGTTATTTGTATTGTAATACGTTATATACCTCCTTCCCTCTGCTTTCTTCTCCATTTTTTATTATTTTGCATTTTTATAGAAAACAACATAATAGCCATTACAAGTTAATAAATACAGATGGCGCTTTTTAGGATGGAGATTCTAGTTTTACTAGTGATGCTATATTATTTTAGTGTGTTCGTTATCGACAGTTTATATCGTTTTTTTTTTTCAAACAAATCGGAAATATCTGTCTGATTGACGCAGATTTATTACACTAATAAATTAAGTATTTTACGTATATAAAAATTACAATTTATTTCCTTCATCACTAATTCATCTATAATTTACTATTTATAAAGGTGTTTTTTTGTAATTTCCGACTATTCTTGGCATAGAGCGCATAGTAAAACATTATGAAAGTCAAAGTCAAAATTTCTTTATTTGTTTAGACTAATAAATAGTTCTTACAAATCGTCATAATGCTCTTAAGGAGCCTCTACATGTCTCATAATCTTTTTACCCTACCAGCGCTTCGAGACCAACATTTGGCAAGTGCTGAGAAGAAGCGCCGCAACAAACTCAGTCACCACCACTGTCTGCCGGTTAATATAAATAAAACCATGGTTATCAGCCTATTCCACTACTTCTAATAATTTTAAATCAACCAAATCCTGATCCTGTTTATTATACAGGACAGGTTTCAATGATTGATGATTTTCATACTTTGTAACTATAGACACAGATATTCTGTCGATAATGATCAATTAATGTGGCATGGACTTCACTATTTTTTGACAATTTTGACATTTTCATGACATGAGTGTGTCTGTGATGATTTTGATTCGTATTTCCTTGATTGTAAAAATTGGTAAAAATATGAAAGAATCTATTTTTTAATATAGATATTTACGGAATTCTATCCCACAAAAATTAATTTAGTATTTATGATCAACAATCAACATTAACATAAAAAGCCTGATAGCATGGCCTGATAGTAAAACTTGTCATTTGTGGTGGTGATTTCTCCTTCAAGAGCTAAGTTCAAGAGATTCTTCTCACAATGACTAGCATTAAGCAACCCAGTGAAGAGAAAAAAATAAAAATAGAATGCCCTAAGGACACCTGTAGGGTCTGCATGTGCAGCTACTTGGCAATGTCCTATATTTTTGATGCAGGCTGTGATATTGTCGATAAGATTTTATATTGTACAGGTTTACAGGTAAATGACTATTTACTTTCATTATTAACCTAGAATCTACACTTCTTTAGTCTTAGAAGCACTTGTAAGAGTTATTGTTGTAGTTATAAGACAAACTGGTGCCAAGTCATTTGACAGCTTTCCTAAAAGACACCCATGAGTTAGATTAATTAAGTTTTTGCTCATTTATGCTCAAATTGTTGGCCTAAAATCTGAAAATTATAACTTGGGTTAGAGTTTGTTAGATGTTATTATGAAGTTTTATTACATGTAAACCTTCTATGCAGGTTTGCTTCACTGTAGATCATATTATTATCTTTTTGGATGAGATCATTATAGAGAGCAAGCCTACACAAAAAACACTGTTTTAGCTAAATATTTACAGTAACAATTTTCTGAAAGCGCTGGTAGGACCCAAAAGATAAGGAGATATGTAAAGTGCACCCAATATCTACCTTTTGTTAATTATTTCGGACCCTTATAAGTACCAAAATACTGGTCAAAATTAATTAAATTTAAGTTTCTTTGATTTATTTAGTCTATAAAATAATGTTTTTTCCATTCCAGATCACGATAGACGACGGTCTTCCGTCACAAATATGCAGTAACTGCATCCAAGACATGACAATCGCATACAAATTCAAATCCTCCTGTATACTAGCCAATGAGACGTACCAGGATTTACTTAAAAGCGGAATTAAGACTGAATTGGATTATTTCAGTGACGATGACCATTTTTGTGACGATGATTTTAATGTTAAGGAGGAGCCCGATGATGGATTTAAAGAGGAAGAAATGTAAGGATTTTTGTTAACTTATTTATTTTAAAAGATATTTAAAAACTACTTAGACCCATACCCTCTTACTAATAAAAGTTAGACGCTGGTTGAACAGTGTTTTTAAGTGACATTTAGTATGGAAATGTTATTTTAAAACAGTGTTCAACGACTGTGTAAAGGTGGCGGTTCGCATCGCGACAGAGACAGGAGACCGAGACGCAAGACCGAGACGGGAGACCGCGAACGTTACTTGACTTTAGACAATGAATAAGCGACAGTTCGCAAGCGAGACAGAGACACAGGTCTCTGCCTTAGTCAAATAACGGTCGCGGTCTCCTGTCTCTGTCGCGGTGCGAACCGCCACCTTAACTTTTTATTAGTAAGGGGGCTATATTGTCTTGGACAGACACAAGATGGGTATGGGGTTTTTTGAACATTCTTCTTTATGATTTTAAGAGTACTTACATTATTCAATTAATGGTTTAACTATATCACAAAATATACTTTTTTGGTCAATTATTTACTATGTTCTCACAGTAATTAAATGTAAAGTAATCAAATAATTTTGATTATTCATTATAGTACCATTCCAGAAAAGAAGCCACGTAAGATCCGTGGCCCATACAAGAAGAAAGAAGGGAAACAAAAGAAGCCTCGCTTGAAGAAGTTCAATTTCAGAAGGTTGTGGTGCGAACCGTGCAAGGTCAGCTTTGCGAGTAGAAAATTGAATGATGAGCACAAGAGAACTGTCCACGGAGCTCAAGCGGAGACTTATATGTGCGAGGTATTTATCTTACAGGTTTATTGCATTTTAATTAAAATAGTAAGACACGGGTCTTAATGCGACGTTTATTAATGAGTTACATTATGTACTCACGGCTTGACGTTTTAAAAATTTTATTGCATTTTTTAAAGAATATTATAGCAATTTGTAAATATAAATCTAAATCTATAAAAGCGATTACTGATAGACTTATGCCTGTTTTCACCATCAATCCCTAATTTTTAAGTGACCCCTATGGTAACAAATAACACGAATTTTGTTTAATAGGGGTCGCTTAAAAATTAGGGATTGATGGTGAAAACGGGCATGACTCACTCATCATGAAATCTCAGAAACTACAAGTGCTAGAAGTCTCAAATTTTGCATGGGGGTTCCTTTTAGAACGTAGGTGCTCACTAAGACAGGATTTTGCAAAATTCAACCCCTAAGGGAGAAAAACAGGATCCACGCGTACGAAGTCGCGGGCGGCCGCTAGTTACCTACTAATACAGCTAGGGACTGGAATTCGCTGCCTGCTGCTGTCTTTCCCGAAAACTATAATCCGGGCCTTTTCAAGGCGAGAGTGAATAGGCACTTACAGGGCAGATATGTACCATCCTAGACCGCATCCCACTTAACATCAGGTGCGATTGTGGTCAAATACCTGCCTTGTTATGCATAAAAAAAAAATCCTGTTAACCCCTCGTGGTAATCTAAATATGCTTGTGATACGAGTGGGCTCACCACAATAGTCGAGCGGCGGCAGGGATGGAACCCGCGTTCCTCGGATCACGAGTCGGCCAGTCCGACCCCTTCACTGTTCGGCTATCGTGGCTTCTTAAAGTCTGTTGTCTTCAGGATGTCAATACTCAATAGCCTGGGTATAGTAGAACCTATCTTCTTTTAGTCAGCCGATAGTGGGATCGGCTTTCAATTTGTATGAGAAATGCGGCTGATACTAAATTGGTGCAATGTGCCCACTTTCATACATGTTCATGCTGATTAACACTAGAGGGAAGTCGAACCTTAACTTCGAACTCCTCCTGTATGCTTCTGATTAATTTCGTTGCGGGTCCAATGACAGTTTAACTTTCCCTCGAGACAAACTTGACCTTCATTGGTTAGGTTTTTATGGCGGTCAAGCTGTAGATCCTGGCTACACAGGAGTTGCAGCGGTGGGAACGAGAGGTGGGAATAGTCCCGTGATGAACAGCGTGACCGACTAAAAGTCTAGTCTGCAAGGTATCTTGACAGTAATGTTAAATTTTAAGTGTGTCTTAAATAAATAAATAGATTTTTTGTCGTTAATGACAATTAATGTTTTTTCTATTTTTTTTCCAGCACTGCGGCAAATTGTACGCGTGCAAATCGTCGATGTACTCGCACACACGCACTCACCTCCCGCCGCAATATGCGTGCGAGCATTGCGACTACAAAGCCACTTACAAGCACGACCTGGCCAAGCACTTGCATATACACGCCGGTAAGTCGTTAAACGGGCACGGGAATATATTTCCCACCTTAATAAAATAGTGGGAATATTACTCAACATCAAATAATCACACCTTCCGCGACGCGAACTTTAAAGATTTTCTTTTGACACAATCATGGTGCCCCAACAATATTGGTGTTATTTGAAAGCTCAATAAATATCCTTAAAGAAAAACACATATTTTAATTTCTAAACAAATGATTAACATAACATATACCATAAATGTGACTTGAAAAAAGACTTCACTTGGCTTGGGGCTCACCTCTGGGATCAATTAGACCAATTTTTATGGTTATAAAACCAAATAATGATCTCACGTGTCCTCTTTAACACATGGATAGCGATTACCTAATTCCAACTTCACAGTTTTATAGCCATAAAATTTGGCTCAAGCGTAACTACCTATTTTTTGTAGAAGTGACTGGATCCTTCTAAAGACACATTTTTTGGGGGAAAACCTTTCCTTTAATGAAATGAAGTTTAGAACTAGGCTTTTAAATGGTGCCAATATTGGTGGGAAGTGGGGATTGGGGATGCATGTTTGAATTGCGATTTATTTGGTGTCGAGTGTATTTCCCACTTTAATATAACAGTGGGAATATATTTCCCACCTTCATAAAACAATGGGAATATATTTCCCACCTCAATAAAACAGTGGGAACATATTTCCCACCTCAATAAAACAGAGCTAATACCAATTTTTCTCCATTCCAGGTNTTTTAAAGGATTCCGCTGCGAATTGTGCACGTACGCTTGCTTCGACCGCACGAAGTATAACAGGCATATGGACTCGCATAATAATGTTAAACGGTGAGTTTTAATAAACTATCTAAAAAAGTAATTAATTCTACAGGGTGTTAGGTAAATGGGTATATGAGCCGACACTAGCCCATGTTAACATGGGTAATAAATGGTATGGTGAAGTCAGAAAATTGATATCTTCATTTTAATTATTTTATTTTTCATACAAATCGGATTTTATAAAATTTATTTTGTATGAAAATTAAAATAATTAAAATGAAGATATCGATTTTCTGACATCACCATACCATTTATATGCCCATGTTAACATGGGTTAGTGTCGGCTCCAGCGTTGCCAGTTTTTTTCTTCGCCAAGTCGGGACTTTGGTACTTTTTGAGTGAAAATAGCGGGATTCTTCTGTCAGAAGCGGGACATAGTAAAAAAAACGTATATAATCAAAGGTTTTCAAATATTTATCTTTTTGTTTGACTTAAAATTACGTTTACGTGACAATAGATAGCAAAAGTAGCCATAGAAAATGTATTTTAACAAAAAAATTATATTTAAAATAAGATTTACTGTATCGTTAAATTTTTCTTTAGAATATAAAAAGAAAAAAAATTAAAAGTTTTATTCTTTAGTAAGAATAATATGGCGTTTCAAACAATAGTCTGGTGAAGTGAGTGTCTCTCTCCGAAAAGCGGGACCGAGCCTGTCCCGCGCGGGACATTTAAATTTGATCTAAAAATCGGGACGTCCCGCCAAAATCGGGACGTCTGGCAACGCTGGTCGGCTCATATACCCATTTACCTAACACCCTGTATAGTTGTAGCTTAACTCAGTCAGTGCCTGAGGCATGGGAGCGGCACGGGAGGGGTGACATTGAAATATTATGACGTGACAGGGCAGTATTGATAGTAGCTCCCTCCTGTAAATCTTATAGGACACTTCATAGTTGTCTAACGTGGCAAAAATCGGAATTAATGACCGAGTGAATTGATATAGTTCCAAAATACTGAACTGTCCTATCCATGACATTGACAGCGGGGCGCCACCGTCAATACCGGATCGCTGGTTCCGATTTTTGCCATGTTGGAAACCATATACACTCGACGTCAAATAAATCGCACCTCCCGCGACAAGCACTTATCAAACGTATGCATCCCCACTTCCCACCAACATTGGTACCATTTGAAAGCCTAGTTCTAAACTTCATTTCATTAAAGGAAAGGTTTTTACCCCAAAAATGTGTCTTTACAAGGATTCAGAGTNGCCAAGCACTTGCATATACACGCCGGTAAGTCGTTAAACGGGCACGGGAATATATTTCCCACCTTAATAAAATAGTGGGAATATTACTCAACATCAAATAATCACACCTTCCGCGACGCGAACTTTAAAGATTTTCTTTTGACACAATCATGGTGCCCCAACAATATTGGTGTTATTTGAAAGCTCAATAAATATCCTTAAAGAAAAACACATATTTTAATTTCTAAACAAATGATTAACATAACATATACCATAAATGTGACTTGAAAAAAGACTTCACTTGGCTTGGGGCTCACCTCTGGGATCAATTAGACCAATTTTTATGGTTATAAAACCAAATAATGATCTCACGTGTCCTCTTTAACACATGGATAGCGATTACCTAATTCCAACTTCACAGTTTTATAGCCATAAAATTTGGCTCAAGCGTAATTACCTATTTTTTGTAGAAGTGACTGGATCCTTCTAAAGACACATTTTTTGGGGGAAAACCTTTCCTTTAATGAAATGAAGTTTAGAACTAGGCTTTTAAATGGTGCCAATATTGGTGGGAAGTGGGGACTGGGGATGCATGTTTGAATTGCGATTTATTTGGTGTCGAGTGTATTTCCCACTTTAATATAACAGTGGGAATATATTTCCCACCTTCATAAAACAATGGGAATATATTTCCCACCTCAATAAAACAGTGGGAACATATTTCCCACCTCAATAAAACCGAGCTTAATACCAATTTTTCTCCATTCCAGGTATAAAACTCTACCAGTGTCAAATCTGCGCGGTTCGCTACCGAACGTCGTCGACTCTAAACCAACATATTCGACGCGAGCACGAACGTGTGAAGCGATTCCGCTGCGAATTGTGCACGTACGCTTGCTTCGATCGCACGAAGTATAACAGGCATATGGACTCGCATAATAATGTGAAACGGTGAGTTTTAATAATACCTACTATATAAAAAGTAATTAATTCTACAGGGTGGAAACGATAAGTGATCTCACTCGATTATTTCTAAACTATACAAGATATCGAAAAACTGATTACTGATCCTGAAAGTGCTTCATGAGCTCTTTCAAACGGTATCAGTAATAGGTTACAGAATTAACTGGATCTATCGGAAAATGTAATGTTCTCAGCCTCCATACTAAATGTATGCCAGTCACACAATATTAGAAGTGTTAATTTTTTTTATCAAATAATAAATACTTAAGATGAACTCGTAAACTGCATTCTTATTTAAAATTATTCATGGAAAACATTGGCTTTTGGCTTTACCTGTTATAATATTATCAAGAAATGAGTGCCATGACTGTGGCAGTACTAAATGTGTGGAAGCTGGAAACATTGAATTTTTAGATAGATCCAGTTTATTTTGTAACTTATTATTGATACCATTGGATAGAGCTCGTAAAGCCCTTTCAGGATCAGTAACCAGTTTTTGGATATCTTGTATAGTTTTTAATATTATGTGGTTTTACTAAATGTATGGAAGCTGGAAACATTGAATTTTCGGATAGAAACACTTCATTTTGTAACTTATTATTGATTTGGTACCGTTGGATAGAGCTAAGGAAGCACTTTCAGGATCATTATCCTGTTTTTGGATATCTTGTATAGTTTAAAAATAATCGAGTGAGATCACTTATCGTTTCCACCCTGTATAGTTCTAGCTTAACTCAGCCAGTGCCTGAGGCATGGTAGCGGCACGGGAGGGGTGACATTGAAATACACTCGGCATCAAATAAATCGCACCTCCCGCGACAAGCACTTATCAAACGTATGCATCCCCACTTCCCATCAACATTGGTACCATTTGAAAGCCTAGTTCTAAACTTCATTTCATTAAAGGTTTTTACCCCAAAAATGTGTCTTTACAAGGATCCAGAGTCACTTCTTCAAAAAATAGGTAGTTACGCTATAGCCATTTTTTATGATTATAAAACTGTTAAGTTGGGATTAATCGCTATCCATCTGTTAAAGAGGACACGTGAGATCTTTATTTGGTTTTATAACCATAAAAATTGGTCTAATTGATCCCAGAGGTGAGCCCAAAGTGAGGTCTATTTTCAAGTCACATTTATGGTATATGTTAATCATGTATTTAGAAATGAAATGTATTTTTCTTTAAGGATATTTATTGGGCTTTCGAATAACACCAATATTGTTGGGGTACCATAATTGTGTCAGAAGAAAATCTTTAAAGTTCGCGTCGCGGAAGGTGCGGTTTATTTGATGTTGAGATCATTATGACGTGACAGGGCGTAAATCTTTTTTTTTTTTTAGTGGCAACCAAACCTCTCTGGGAGGTTTATTACTGCCAATGTCGAGTGAAAAATAATTGACATAGTTATCAATAGAACGTGGGTGTTTCAGTTCTATTGATTTTTCATGGATTCCGTGGAGTTAAGTATGCCCGTAAGCAGGTTTCAAGACGCCACCGGGTCCAAAGCGGGTTGTTCATACGGCAACCCACTCAACACTCGGTGCGCGCTCAAATTCGAAGTATTTCAATGTTTTTTATAATTTATCACTTCACTGCACTTTAGAACACAAAATAACACCAAAAGACTGCCGGAAATTGGCGTCTTTTTTTTTTCGCGCGGCCATCGACCAAACTTTGTTTTTTGATTACAAAATAGTGTAATAAACCAAACTTGCTATGACATGTATACCTCTATACTCAGTCTGAACTGAGTTACGAGCATTAGAAGTTTGATGATTTTCATACTAGATTTGCTTTTTGCGCGCAAAGTTTTGTAAGAAATTGCAACAAAATAGTGAGATTGTATGTGTAAACAAACAATACCATCCATTAAAGGCTCCAGACATCAGTATAGAGCAGAATCAGCGCAATAAAAAAATAGCGCAATATTTTGTTGCAATTTCTTACAAAACTTGCGCACAAAAAGCAAATCTAGTATGAAAATCATCAAACTTCTAATGCTCGTAACTCAGTTCAGACTGAGTTTAGAGGTATACATGTCATAGCAAGTTTGGTTTATTACACTATTTTGTAATCAAAAAACAAAGTTTGGTCGATGGCCGCGCGAAAAAAAAAATTTTTTTTTCGCGCGGCCATCGTCCAAACTTTGTTTTTTGATTACAAAATAGTGTAATAAACCAAACTTGCTATGACATGTATACCTCTAAACTCAGTCTGAACTGAGTTACGAGCATTAGAAGTTTGATGATTTTCATACTAGATTTGCTTTTTGCACGCAAAGTTTTGTAAGAAATTGCAACAAAATAGTGAGATTGTATGTGTAAACAAACAATACCATCCATTAAAGGCTCCAGACATCAGTATAAAGCAGAATCAGCGCAATAAAAAAATAGCGCAATATTTTGTTGCAATTTCTTACAAAACTTGCGCACAAAAAGCAAATCTAGTATGAAAATCATCAAACTTCTAATGCTCGCAACTCAGTTCAGACTGAGTTTAGGGGTATACATGCCATAGTAAGTTTGGTTTATTACACTATTTTGTAATCAAAAAACAAAGTTTGGTCGATGGCCGCGCGAAAAAAAAAAGACGCCACTTTCCATACACAATCTGGCATTGCCATTTGTACACTAAAGTCCATTAAATAATAAATTGAAACCATTAAAACAGATCGACCATGCTTCCCGTTTAACTACCCTCCATGGAATCTCCCTGTAAATCCGTGTAAATCTTATAGGACACTTCATAGTTGTCGAACGTGGCAAAAATCGGAATTAATAACCGAGTGAATTGATAGTAGCCCTCCTATCAATGTCATAGCTGGGATGGTTCAGTGTTGTACACCTGTAAGGACGTACAGACTAAGAGCTAGTGAACGCTAGACCTACGTCATTTTATAAAAGCTGAAAGTTTGTCAACGTATGCTCCCAATATAGGATATAATGTTGGTGAATTATGAAGTTTGGGTCATCGTGGCTTTGGCAGCTAGCCTAAAAAATCTGTCAAAACTATCTGGCTGATGTGCATAAAAATCAGATTTTTTGGTATAACGTAAGAAGAATAACAGTCTATTGAATATACAGAAAAAGCCACTGTAAAAGTTATGCTTCTTTTCTACCTCATAGTTTGTGAATACGGGCGTAAGTCTGCTATAATCTACTCTAATTTTATCCAAATTTTCCAATTTCCAGTTTCGAGTGTGAAGTCTGCCACTCCTGCTTCACTCGAAGATGTTACTGGAAGAAACATTTGCAGAAGAACCACAACATCGAAACGCCTAGGCAGCGCCCGGGTAGGCAGAAAGACATTATTTTAACTGGTTAAAGCTCAAAATTGAATGAAAGTTGCTAGTATTTTTGGTAAAAAAATTGTCAATACAGGGTGTGGTTTTGTAAAACAATGCCCATCTCAGATGTGGTAGGTATACACGACACTGATGAAAAAAAAATATTTTAAATTTTCATGGAAAATTCCATGAAATCACTAACAGGGTGAGCTATCGGACAGTCCCTCCGCTCTCTCTCTCTTTCTTGAAATTACTTTCATACTACCACACCCTGTATTGAAGCTTCTGTCAACGAGTTAAAGTATCAATTGATTTTTTTTTGTCGTGACGTCACGGCTGCTAGTTGTGCAGGTTAACTCGACCAGGTTGTACTTCTAATGTATGAATATTTTATTTATATTGTTGATTAATTAATTTTACTGGTGTGTGATTGGACAGTGTTTAATTTATAATTGTTACGAATGTTCTGGAAATTAAAAGAAAAATTAATTTTCAGTCTTTTATTCTACTAAATTAAAGAAAAATAAACTTATTCTAGGTAACTAAAATCTAGTCTTAGACATTCGCATGCTATTATAATAAATTAAGTGTCTCTTAAAAGAAAATATTAAAACATTATCCGGGCTAAAGATGATCCATAGGTCTAGCGAGCTTATGCCCGTTTTCACCATTAATCCCTAATTTTTAAGTGACCCCTATGAAAACAATATTCCTGTTAAGTGTTACCTTAAGGGTCACTTATAAATTAGGAATTAATGGTGACGGGCATTAGTCATTTGTAATAGTGAAAAGTTATATCAATGGCCGCCACCCTCAAAAGTGATCACCAAAGGTTTCCCTTGCGCATCATCATACCTATCATTATTTTGGCAATCGTACATAATAGTAACCCCAAATATCAGTATTCCAAAGCATATCCCGCTTATAAACAATCCGGCGAGTATGCTAGCACTGTAATACGGGCCACAGTTGACTGAACTCCCGAATCCTTTGTTGTCGTCAGACCCAGCGCCGCTGCCACTGCCCGCGTCGGGATCTGAGGATAAAAATCTAAATATACAGGGTGTTAGGTAAATGGGTATATGAGCCGACACTAGCCCATGTTAACATATACATATACATAATATAGTCAATAATTTTTTAAATGTTCATACAAAATAAAATTTATAAAATCAGATTTGTATGAAAATTAAAATAATTAAAATGATGATATCAATTTTCTGACTTCACCATACCATTTATATGCATAATACTATGTTAACATGGGCTAGTGTCGGCTCATATAACCATTTACCTAACACCCTGTATAAAAGGAGAAACTGACTCACTGACATATCAACGCACAGCATAAACGGCTAAACGTAGGCACTTGAAATTTGGAAGGGACGTAGCTTAGGTACCGTAGAGGTGCACTAAGAAAGGAATTCCCGAAATTCCCACGGGAACGGGAATTAGCGGGAAAATCCTTTTGTATGAAAAATCTAAACCATTAATGTAATAAACGTCGCGTTAAGACCCGTGCCTTACCTACTATTTTAGTTAAAATCAAAAATATTTTATTTAATTTGGACCACTGGTGGCGCTTATGAACGTCAAATACAGTAAAAAAAGGTAGCCCATGGAGCATTTTAGCTTCGCACACTTGGCTAGGTAGGCTTGCACAAACGATGCTTGCTTAATTGAAGCAGCAAATCGAATGCACAGGGTTGAATAGCTCTGTGATTGGTTCTATGTCACCATGTGCGTCCACGCGCACTGTGCGACCTCATAGTAATGTTTGTGAATACGGGCTTTAGTGTAGCTGACATCATCAACATACCCTCGGTGGTCGTGATGTCTTCAGTTCCGCTCCGCTGGATATTTCGCTTCTTTAGTGGCTGTATCTAAAAAAACAAATTACCTATTAAAGTCCGGTTGACGAGCACGTAGAATTTCGTCCAATGACCCCAAGCAATATAATTACGCGCGAGCGATATGGATGGGTATATCGCTCGCGCGTAATTATATTGCTATCGCGACTTTGCGATGGGCAGCCGCAGTGAGTGTGCGAGCGCGACAGCAATATAATTACGCGCAAGCGATATGGATGGGTAGCTTGGGGTAATTGGACGAAATTCTACGTGCTCGGCGACCGGACTTTACTTAAATAGATTGGGGGGCCGCGTAAATACACTCGGAGTCAAATAAATCGCAACTCTCGCGAGCACTTTCAACGTATGCATCCCCACTTCCCACAAGGGATAGGTTTTTACCCCAAAAATGTGTCTTTCATCTACCCATTTGGGTTATTAGTAGTTTCGCACGGATGTATATCGCATGCGAATCGACTCTTTCGAGAACTAGTAGTATGAGATTACTAGTTCTCGGCGGAACGCCTACTAAAAAAAAATGTTATTGAAAGGGGACGTTTCGCACATTCGTTCGAACGAATTTCATGCGAAACTACTACTAACCCACCCATTTCCGTATTCTCTCTCGCTCTGATCAATTGGTGATTCTTTGCGATAGAACGAGACATGATAGCTAGAACTGTGTACGGACCACAGTACCTGGTACTCCGAGATGGTGACAGAGCTCCCGTCCCGAGTGTTCACGAGCACTAAGGGCTCCCCGCAGTAGTAAGCCCAGTTCCACCTCGCTCCTACTCCCATGTCAGTTCGGCCGACTTCCTCACCCCCCTCTAGGAGAGCCACGTTCTCTGGTGGGAGGATAGATAGGTTTGTTTATCTCAAACTCAGCTGTAAGTTTTCCTAAGAAAGGCCGTATACAGAAATAAAGCTGGAAACTTGTCAGCGCTGGTAAGCGCTTAAGTTTCCAGCTTTCTTTCTGTATACGGACAAATGCAAAATAAAATAAAGCAGGACGGATCTTTCAAACAAAGTATAAGTTTTGATATTGTCATTTTCAAGGCCACAATTAAATGGAAAACACATAAAACTCAAGCTGTACGTGTTAAAGCGCCATAAAAAGCCTATTTTTGCATAAAATCTGACTTACTATGACTTNTGACTTTTATTACACCACAATACACACTTAAGGCAATTTCGATTACGTGCGTCATTGCTAATAAAATTTTAGTAGGCGTTTTTTATGGCGGAAAACTACTTTGTAAGTATGAATGAAGCATATTTAAAAAAAGATATGAGTTGGAATTACTGATTATTGATTTCAACATTAGGAAATTGACTTACCAAGCAGCCAACCCTTGTCCTTGAAACTAAAATTGAATTCTAACTCAAAATCAGTGTACGCCATCTTGGTAGACAGTGACTCGAGGGTCCACGTCTCCTCTGCCACCATTGGGATCTGGTTGAAGGTGGCTCGTCGCGTTTGTGTAGCTGCGTACACTCCTAGCATGAGAACAAGTTAGTTAATTGAATGTCAATTGGCTTGCGTCTATTACAAAATAGTAGGCTTTGAAAGAGCGAAGAAAAATGTTTATTTGAATAAAACAATACAAATTAACTTAAAAACAAACAAAAAAAGTTGCATCAAATTGGGATATGCTGAATTTGGGCCCTTTATTTATTCGTAGCACAGCACGTTGTACTTTCAGACGGCAATGGCTGTTTATTTAAGTGCACACGAACCATGGCGAAATCGTGGCTGCCAAAATCCAAGTCATTGCCACAAAAAAGAAAAAGTGTTGCGACTTTAGTTCTTACAGTTTCAAGATATAAGAAGAAGTAGGTAGTAGGGGCCAATTTTGAAACTAACCGTCTCTCACTAATTTTGAACTAACCGACAAACCGAAAAAGCGCGCCGTCCGTCACCACCATCACTCCTGGGTCCCTAGTAACCGCAATCGGTGAAATCGGCACGAACTCTATCTTTTCCACTTCAACAGGGTTCATTTTTCCAGTATAAAAAGCCACCACGGCACCCGGTGCTAACTGACGAACGACGAAGTACACCTCCCTCATAATCAAGTCGTGGCGTCTTAGTACCTCTGCTCTTGTCTCATTTTTGCCGTCTTGGAAGAAAATATAAAAATATTTAAAGTGTCCATCAAACATCTGCAACTTCGTGCCCGAGTTCAGATAAAAAACATTGAATTGCTGCGGCTGGAATATCTGATTGAGAAGTTTAAATGGTTCTATGACTCCAGGGAAGAATTTCACTTTGTTTTCCAGCATGTCCTGGTGAAGATGGTGGTAGGGAGTCCCTAGTTTGTCTTTTATAGTAATGTCTTCAACGCTGAACTGGTCTTCCACGAAGATTATGACCACTTCGCTCCTTTTTATAGCGTCATGGATTATATCGGCGAAGTAGGCAGTGCTTATTTTGGAAAATGGATTTGCTTCGACTGTCAAATGTGACATCACACCACCGTAGTCCATGAGGAAGACTGGAATGATGTCTTTGTCAGCATTTGCACATTGGAAGGCCAGGAGGAATATAAATATTGAACGCATAATTTCGGTGGCCGGTGGTTAACTGTCGATAATAAATGGAAAATAATATTTTTTCTTCTTCTTCTTTTATTATGGCAACTTTCACCATTTTATAGATGACCCACGCTGAACTGTCCCGCCAAACTCAATGACAGGGGGGCGCTACCATCGTTCAACTATATGGTTTCCAACATGGCAAAAATCGGAACTAGCGATTCGGTATTGACGGTGGCGCCCCACTGTCAATGTCATGCACAGGACAGTTCAGTATTTTGGAACTATACGTTGACTTTTGACAGAATATGCCAATATGAATATTTTCTTCTGTAAAGAAGATGAGTTTACAGAAGAAGATAAAAAGGTGATATTGATATTAAATTGTAAAAAATAATCTTCTTTTTAATTTTATCTGAAAGATAGTTAGATAAGTTATAGGTTAGATCATCTAAGAGCAATTAGCTCCATTTTAAGTCAATAGTTTAAATTATTATGATGAGCCGCTCATCATTATTTTATTCAAAACGAACAAACTTTTTGCTACTTCAACCTACTTGAGGTGGTTTCGTGATTTAACGCCATCTATTAATAAGTACGCGCAACAAACTAGTTCTTTTTATTGGCTGCCAAGGCCAAGGCTTTTGCATGCCAGTGTGCTAATGGTAGTTTATTAAAAAAACATGTTTTTTTTTTAATTGTTCAATCGCAATAAAGCGTTTTGTAATGTTTTTTAAGCTTTTTGATCTATGATTTATATGAAAAATGCCTTTTTAGATTACATTTTCCCTTCATTTTCTAAAATAAGTCTTCCCTATATTAGTAGTTTATTTTGAACAAAAATTGGCAACATTGGAACCATAGACAACCGTCAAACTAATCATATGATCACTTTTCACATGACCAATGGTCACTCGTCATAGCGTAATTTTCATCTATTTTTTCACAATTTTGGACTGAAAACTTACTTTTTAGTTCGTAAGCGTTCAATACTGTAGTTTATCCGAAATGGCGTGCAGCCGTCTAGTGTTCGTCACGTTAGTTTTAAGCGTAGTGAGCAGTTTTGCCGTGAAAGTGCCTGTATTCCTGTGGAAAAATGATAANTATGGAAAGATAAAAACGAAGTTTCCATCAAATCCAACCCTCTCAGAGATGTTTCTAGCCATAAATTCGACAGCATTGTCAAGAATGAGCTTCAGGACAACCCGTTCATGGTAGTATTCATCGAGGAGACTCTGTCTGTTGAAGATTTTTCGCGTAAAAACGACGAGGGCGAGACCTCTTTTCCGTACTTGGAATCAAAGATCGGAGACGCGACTTACCTGCCATCAGTCGAAAATCCCTTGAAGGTTTTGAACAAGGCATCCATTCCTGAAGAGACTGACCATGTCAAATTGACTGAGAATGGTTTATCCGCTGACATTTCAGGTGAAAACGACAAGTTTTTGTTCATCAACTTGAAAGATGCTAAAGAAAATGAGCCCAGAGATGTGTTGCTCCGCAGGCACAATGACTTCATCGAAGACATGGTCTCGAAGCTGCAGAAGCGTTACAACTCGGTCGTGGCCGTGTACACCGCTCACTACCCATCGTGGACCACTACTCATTCTCGTGTCCGTCGCCAGGCTACCAACGAAACTGAGGTCCACGGACACGACTACACTTTGAACGGTCTCCGTCTGTACGTGCAAGCGATTGAATTCGGAGCTAAAAACACAACCGGCAGTCTGAGCGATTTGGTCAGCAATTCGTCTACCTTCAACACAACTGAGTTGAGCACTACAATGGAGTTCAAGGAGGCTACGTTGACTTTAAGCTTCAGGATGCAGGGTGGCTATTGGTTCTTTGGTAAGGCCTTCCTTGGTTATTGAATTGAAATAATAATTATTTCAGGAATTCTATATCGGAAAATCCTTCTTCTTCTTCCTCATTCCCTCACTGATGAAGATCGCGACCACAGATAGTGATCCTCCACAGACTGCGGTCATAAGCTGTGTGGACCGCACGATGCAAACTCCCGCCCACCGTCCTCCTCACCGCGTCTGACCATCTCGTCGGTGCCCTGCCCCTGGAAAATCCTTAGGGGAGGCTTTTGTCCAGCAGTGGATGTCATTCGGCTGAAACTAACAATCAGTTGTTGGATCTTATTGGAATGGCCTGGTGAACATTGATAAATTGGTATTCGAAATTCGTACTTTATGTGTAAAAAATAATTAGGAACTGTCCATGATCTGCTATGTCCCAATCATATCACTTGGCAACAAGCCACTAACTTATACCTATTAACCTACTTAGGGAGTCACTTGATTATTGTGCCTCTTGGCATAGGCCTCCTCCAACATTTTCCATTGGGTTTTGTCTTTCAACTTTTTGTTTTAGATTGTCCTCCCCTTTCTTTATTGGCATCCTTGACTATGTTTGCTATCTCTAGCGTATCAGTTAAATAACTAGTGCTTAACTCAATCAGTCTCTGAGGTATGGGAGGGACACGAGAGGAGTGACTTAACATTGCCAATTGTCATATTATGAAGAGCATAAAAATCTGAAGCATATTTGAAGTTTCGCTTAACATGTCGACTCATTTCTTTTAATTTTGTGTCGTAACTTATTTTACTCCCACTTTACAGAGACTGTGACCTTCTCACAAGACGGCTCGGAGCACGAGTTGACGGCCACCAGCGAAGTGTATGCTCTTGATGGATTCTCATACCGCTGCGGGGACCGTATCACCTTTGCGTCTACCAATCAGACCGAATACAACGTCACCTTCATCGACATGAAGGTAGGTTGACATTTTTTTATCTATACTAATATTATAAAGCTGAAGAGTTTGTTTGTTTACTTGAACGCGCTAATCTCCGAAACTACTGGTCCGATTTGAAAAATTCTTTCAGTGTTAGATAGCCCAGTTATCGAGGAAGACTATAGGCTATACAACATCACGCTACGATCAGTAGGAGCAGAGCAACAATGAAAAATGTTGCGAAAACGGGGTTTCAAGCGTACGAAGTCGCGGGCACAGCTAGTCTATCCCAACTTCCCAACTAATATTATAAATGCGAAAGTAACTCTGTCTGTCTGTCTGTCTGTCTGTCTGTCTGTCTGTCTGTCTGTTACGCTTTCCCGCTTAAACCTCGCAACCGATTTTGATGAAATTTGGCATAGAGATAGTTTGAGTCCCGGGAAAGAACATAGGATAGTTTTTATCCCGGTTTTTGAAACAGGGACGCGCGCGATAAAGTTTTTCTGTGACAGACAAAATTCCACGCGGGCGAAGCCGCGGGCGGAAAGCTAGTGTATCTATAAAAGGGAAAGGTACTACAAGTGCTAGGAGTCTCAAATTGTGCATGGGGGTTCCTTTTAGAACGTAACGTTAACGTTTGTAGGTGTAGTTTCTGAGATTTCGTGATTGATCAGTGAGGGTTAGCTTTTGTACATTTGATTGCACAATCCCAACTAATATTATAAATGCGAAAGTAACTCTGTCTGTCTGTTACGCTTTCCCGCTTAAACCTCGCAACCGATTTTGATGAAATTTGGCATAGAGATAGTTTGAGTCCCGGGAAAGAACATAGGATAGTTTTTATCCCGGTTTTTGAAACAGGGACGCGCGCGATAAAGTTTTTCTGTGACAGACAAAATTCCACGCGGGCGAAGCCGCGGGCGGAAAGCTAGTTTACTGATAGTTTCGTTAGCTCCTCATACTAAGCTAAATTATTATGCTTGTGTTATGAGTGAGCTCACCATAATAGTCAAGCGGGCGGGGTTCGAACCCGCGTTCCTCGGGTATCGAATCGGCAAGTCTGACTATTTAAATGTTCGGCTATCGTGGCTTCAAATATTGATAACTACCATACCACTTTCCCATACAAACTTCGATAGATGACTGATAACTTTGCATGGGAAGGCAATTTCTTTGTCATCGCCTGCTTGATTTTGAATGTCCGCAATGACATAAGAAAGTAACAAAAAAATCATAAGACTCATTTATTTTTGAAGTGGGCTTTTAAACAGCACTTTTACACATCCTAGCATTAACCCTATCACTGTTTAGGGACAATAAATGGGCCAGTGCTGAGAAGAAGCAGCGCAAGAAAATAATTTATGGATAGCGTCTTATAATTAAAAAAACCAACAATGCAAGAGTTTAATTAAAATAAACAAAAACAATATTCTTTACAGGTCCAACCCTTCTTCAAGACCCTGAATGCATCGGCGATGGAATTCGGCGATGCTTTCAACTGCGTTGGTTTCTTCTCCGTACCCATCTGGTCTGGTCTCTTCGTAGTCTTCATCCTTCTCTCCATCACCTTCTACGGAATCATGATGATGATGGACATCAGAACCATGGACCGGTTTGATGACCCTAAGGGCAAGACCATCACAATCAACGCCTCTGAATAAGAACGTAGAACTACTACAAGTCTGCTCGACTGTAACATGAAATCGATTTTCATCGGTGAGTTCAGTCCAGCGTCTGTAGACTCAGTCAGTAGAAATGGTCAACCGCTATTTATTTTACATTAAATCTGACCGTTTTGACACTGAATCGTATGAGTCACATATTTATTTCGAAGAATGAAAGTTTTCAAAATTGTAACGTCACTCGCTGTGAAATAAGTAATGTACGGTGAATTCAAATCTTTTTTAAAATAAATATGTGACTCATCAAGTATGTATATTAGAATAGTCTTACCCTAAATTGGTATCTATAATTCTGGATTACGAAGAATTAGTAAAAATAACAACCGAGTGTTCACGATCAACGTAGACTTGCAAAATGGTCACCATCGGATTGAAACATTGTAAGAGCTCAAATAATTCCAAATATACTTCGTTTAAATGTAATATTATATACAATTGAGTATTGTAATAGATGTATAATAAAATGGTGCCTGATTTCACTATTACATAGACAATATCTTGTTAAATTTGTTAAGTGTGCACAGTAGGCGAGCTTAGCCGGGCTAAATATATAGAATAATATATAACGTTAAATGTATGGTCAAATTGTAACTATGATATGCTAGGATGACCGATTTTCTTGAATATTGATTTCGAATTAAAACTCAGGATTTGAGCAAAAAATTATGGAACGTCTCGAGTCAAAACAACAAAATGAACACAAAATATTTGATGAAGGTATTTATAAAGTGACAACGGCTGACGACTTCGTACGCGTGTGCCCCGTTTTACCCCCTTAGGGGTGGTTTCGTAAAATCCGTTCTTAGCGGATGTCTATACCTTATAAGGAACCTACCTGACTAATTTCAAGTTTGTAGGTATTCGTTTCTGAGATTTCGTGATAAATCAGTGAGTGGTGATTATGAGATTCAGAATACCTAAAATACAATTTCAATATTCAAGAAATCGGTATAATAAGTATATTTTTGAATTTAAATGCTGTTGCTATTGTATAATGTGCTTGTAGAATTGAGAAATAGTTACTACCGAATATGTGCCTACATAAAGATTTGTGGGTTAAATGTATTTATAAAAACTTGGGAAGTGCATACATGTTTCTATACGATTGAAAATGAATAAAGATGCAATTTCGTTTACGCGATAAACGCGGCGTTTGTAAAGACAGTTTGCACTTTCTTTAAGTTCGTTTAGGACGCTTCAATATAATTCATGGGCCTTATTCAAGTCTGATTAATACAGATTTTATTTCATAAATAACAACGATTCCAATAATACAGAGCTTCGTGTTAAATCGCGTAGTTTTAAAAAATGATTAATAAAATAATGGAAATGAGAGTCCCTCCATTTTAGTGCCAATTTCATAATGTAGGTCATTCCAGAAGGTCGGTTTATAAAATAAAATGTAACTTTAAATGGTGAAACTATTTAATATTAAGAGTAATTCTGTATTTAAGTGACCTTGCAGCGTGAACGTAAAAGCCATTCTGTAGTCTGGTCTGCGAGCACGTAGAATTTTGTCCAATGACCCCAAGCTACCCATCCTTTTCTCTCCCGCGTAATTATGTTGCTGTCGCGCTCGCACACTGCGGGTGCGACTGTGCGACGGGCACCCGCAGTGTGCGAGCGCGACAGCAATATAATTACGCGCGAGCGATAAGGATGGGTAGCTAGGGGTCATTGGACAAAATTCTACGTGCTCACAGACCGGGCTTTAGTATGGATGTATATTTAAATAATAAAATATACTAATTGTATGCAGATGTTTAACTTAATGTAAGCAAAGATCCGTTACTTGAAATATAATATTTCTATCGTTGGTTTATTTTGATGCTCCACAAAATGTATGTTAGCGTTTTTTTAGTCGCGCGTGTAAAAAACCGCGGCGTTTCCCGCGTAGAATAAGCAGCGTAATGCAATCATGTTTTTTTCGATTTATTTTCATGTAAATATCACTTTTTCTGTCATTTTATTTCGGCATTTCTTAGTATTTTTGTTGTTCTTTTGAAGAGTATTAAATTGTGAGACCAGACTTTTTTGTTTTTATTTTATTTTTAACTATTATTTCTTACTAAAACATTTTTTAAAACGCCTTTTTGACTGTGGGATAGAGAGAGAGAAATCCTTTCAAATTAAATAGGAATGGTTCTTTTGACGCGTTTTTAAACACGAAATTCAAATTCAAATAAAGGATTTTTGAACAGGCTGCGCTATTTAGCGTATGATAACTCCACATTTCTTCAAGTAATTCTTATACAGGGTGTGCAAGAAAACAGCTTTCCTTTGAACTTCATTATAAAATAATAAATTGTTGATGTAGACTGGTTGAAAGAAAAAGCGTTTACTTGGTACTTAAGTATTTTTCGAAGCTTTACTGTACTTTCACCACTTCATTTTAAAATAATTTAACTTTTTACTGGTGAAAAACTTTTCAAAATTCATTCCTAACTTCCTTTTCAATCTCAAGACAGATTCGTATTTTGTAAAATTAATGACCTCCTTTGTTTCATTACATTCTAATTACGAATTGGACCAATAGCGAATTTTCCCAATAGCGAATTGGCCCAATAGCGAATTCGACCAATCGCGAATTAGCTCAATGGCGAATTGCACCAATCGCGAAATCAAAATCAAAATCGCGCCTAAACGCTACCTAGACTTGTTTTAATTAATGCTGGATCTTGTTACACTCTGTATTTACTTAATTACAAAACAACAATAGCTATGTTTAGAAATATTAATCAGTACTACACTGTTTGCTGTTCCTACGTTTTATACTGTCGTTGAATTAAGTATTTATGTATTTCTGTTACATAAACAATAATATTAGAAATAAAGCTTGCATAAAATATTATTGCACATGACTTTACATTTTCCTTATTTTAACAGGTTTTTATTTAATTAATACCCTATACTTTGTTCACGAGGAAACGGGACTATTCTCACCGCTGCAACTCCTGTGTAGCCAGGATCTACAGCTTGACCGCCGATAAAAACCCAACCAGTGAAGGTCAAGTTTGTCCCAGGGGAAAGTTAAACTGTCATTGGACCCGCAACGAAATTAATCAGAAGAACATAGGAGTTCGAAGTTAAGGTTCGACTTCCCTCCATTGCAAAGCCGAACAACGACGATCTGGTAAAGGTTGCGGGAAGAGCCTGGATGCGGGCAGCGCAGGACCGTCTATTGTGGAAAACCTTGGGGGAGGCCTAAGTCCAGCGGTGGACGTCATTTGGCTGAAACAAACGAACGAAGGTTGTGTTGTCAAAGTTTTGGCCACTTTGGTTGATGTCACGAACACTTGACTCTGACTATACCTACATAATTCAAAGAAAAAAGACAAAACTATTATTTCGTGGACCGAAGAAAGTATAGAAGCCTTTGAAAAAAGTAAACAAAATCTTTAATTTTATTTTTAAGAAAGGGGGATGTATTGTAGCGGGCATTAGCGAGATTACTCATACGTATTCCTAATATGTAAAGCGTTATACAAAACTGTTTGAGATCTTATGTGACAAGTCAGTGTCTAATAAATCATCATCTATAGTGTACGTTTCTTTTATCTTCTTATGGACCCTCATACACGCACAAATAGAGTAGACACCAAACCTACGTAGAGTTATTTTCGTACTGTAATACTAATATTATTTCTGGTAGAAATGCTCACACCGACTAAACAGGACAAACAAGTGACCAGTGACACATTTCTACCTCAGTTTTCCTCATTAGGTTACCTTATTTTAATTTACCTTCCTTGTGATTTACTTTATAATTTTGTTCCTAATTAATAGGATCGAAACACATAGCTACAACTCGAGGTAACTGCGCACCTGAATGCGAATTCCTCGCACTCACCCGCACACCTCCCCGCTTTCGTCCCGTGCGTACCAGAGCGATGTGACGTCACGACCGCCAGGTGCGCAGTTAACTTGACCGGTTTGAATTTATAGGTTTTAGTCAACGATTGTACCTAGAATAATAAATTCTCATCGTTATTATTTTTTATAGAATTGACTAGGGTAACCTAATCGTTAAAGTTTTAAGGTTAAGATGTTTTATTAATTTTTCGATGATGAATTCAGGGATTAATAAGTTACTACTTACCTAATTATTTTTGTGTTTTTCTCATCAGAATTTGTGCTTTGGTTTTATTTTATTAGAATTCGAATGGTGTTTCCCAAATAATAAAGGAAANTTTTCCGATTTTTCGGTTTCCGATTAACCGGTTTTGCATTCCCTAAGCGGGTGTTATTTCTAAGACGGCCGTTCCTGATCGTGCGGCGTCCTCGACCGCTCCCTGCTCCCCATCAGCCACGGCTTCTTCAGCGCGCAGCATAACCTCGCCGACGTTTGAAAACTGGTCTGCGCAGCTCGGACCCGCCAAAGGCTGGTCATCGCAGCTCTGGTCCGCAGGAAGCTGATGCTCGGAGTCCTGAGGTGCAGCTTGAGGCTGACCCTCACCAGGTTGGTTCACCCATGTTCGCTTCCATGGTTATCATCCGTTGCTGTCAGCAGAGGCCATATTTGCATGCCAACACTACGCCTTGGGTATTAAAAACCCGCGGCATCTGCCTGGACAGAGCCAGAAACTGATAAGAGGCCGTATTTGCATGTCAAAATCAACACTACGCATCAGGTATTAAAAACCATCAACGTCTGCCTAGACAGAGCCAGAAACTGACAGAGGCCGTATTTGCATGTCAAAATCAACACTACGCATCAGGTATTAAAAACCATCAACGTCTGCCTGGACAAAGCCAGAAACTGACAGAGGCCGTATTTGCATGTCAAAATAAACACTACGCATCAGGTATTAAAAACCATCAACGTCTGCCTGGACAAAGNTGGCAATGTAAGCGATTCTTCTTCTCTCTGGCCACCCGGCACATGTATTGTAACAGCACCGTAATTTTTATTTTATAATCGTCAAGTAAGAGTGGAGTAAACTCGTTCACAGGTTTTCTGGACTTTTAATTCGGGCCCTTTCAAGATCCCTATAAAATAAGTTAAATAAAAGAAAAGTTATAAAAATAAAGTTTTATTCACAATATTAATAATAAATTACGTAATTCTTAGCTCTAATGACTCAAGTCCGTTATGGGTTTTCCTTACAGATTTACCTACTTATTAAAGTTGTTATGCTAAAAATGCTATATGAATCACAATAACAAACATGATTACAGTTTAAAAATCCTAAACGAAAGGTCGCGGACCACGGTCAAATCATCTACTTGAGACTAACAAATTATAGGTATTTGGGATTTTGAAAATGTTCATAAATATTTGTTATTTAGGTAAAATACTCGGACAAAACTTAATAAGGCGCCAATTTTCTTAAATTTAAACTAATTAATCGAAAACGGTTTTTAGTCGCTCGGTGGACAACAGACGTCTATGGTGCCAGGGCAGGAGCTGAAAAGAAAAGCTATCATTAGTAATATCAAAACAGACGTACGAGTATGTGTTGTCCGCATGTGCGTTATTATAATATATCGACAAAACACGCTTTACGTGTAAAGCCGCATAGGCGTTATATCGGCGAAACACGCTTTACGTGTGAGACCGCTTGGCATTATGTCGCCAAAACACGCTTTACGTGTGAGGCCGCTTGGTATTATGTCGCCAAAACATGCTTTACGTGTGAGGTCGCATAGGCATTACGTCGGCAAAACACGCTTTACGTGTGAGGCCGCTTGGCATTATGTCGCCAACACACGCTTTACGTGTGAAGCCGCATAGGCGTTATATCGACAAAACACGCTTTACGTGTGAAGCNAACTCTCCCCTATACATAGAAAACACCCAGTCCAATACAAACAAATATGTTCATGCACACAAATGTTTGTACTGTGCGGGAATCGAACCCGCTACCTCCGGAATAGTTGTCCGTTTCGAACCACTACACCAAACGGCCGAATAAGTTACTACCTAATTATTTTTGTGTTTTTCTCATCAGAATTTGTGCTTTGGTTTTATTTTATTAGAATTCGAATGGTGTTTCCCAAATAATAAAGGAAATAAGTTAAATAATATAAAAATAAAGTTTTATTCACAATATTAATAATAAATTACGTAATTCTTAGCTCTAATGACTCAAGTCCGTTATGGGTTTTCCTTACAGATTTACCTACTTATTATTAAAGTTGTTATGCTATGCTAAAAATGCTATAATATGAATCACAATCACAAACATGATTACAGTTTAAAAATCCTAAACGAAAGGTCGCGGACCACGGTCAAATCATCTACTTGAGACAAACAAATTATATTTGGGATTTTGAAAATGTTCATAAATATTTGTTATTTAGGTAAAATACTCGGACAAAACTTAATACGGCGCCAATTTTCACAAATTTTAACTTAACTAATTAATCGAAAACGGTTTTTAGTCA